GGGGACGTCATCAACCCAGCGCACTGGGACACAGTGACTGTAAATAATTTATAATGGAACATCATGTAAACACACTTATTTACCAAAATACCGAGTATGTCGTCCTAGCAGAATATGAATCACCCTTGATAAATCAAATAAATAAGTAATGAATACATATGCCCATTTTATATTATCTTACAGCTTAAGAGTACGCATCAATTACTGAAGGTCTAGATTACAACAACGGTCAGTGAGTCTCATAATCTTATCCTTTCATGGTCCTGTTCAACACTTAACATAAGTGCTAGTGTAATCCTTCAGTCAAAGACCAACTGAATCAAGAATACACTACAGTCTTTTTCCAAGTGGGGTCTCACTGCCAGTCTAGACTGTGAACGAATAGTTTAGTCTTATAAGGAACCGATAGGTGATCTTTCTGTTCGAAACTCTTCGAACCACACTACCTCAATATAAGACATGGAGTATGATTGCATAAATAAATAAACTGCAAGCATATGTACTTTGACCGAAACATGATGGCCAGATCAAAATGGAATTGATAGAATCTGTAAATAGGAGCTTTTACAGCATACCTCTAACAAAAAATTTGATCACGATCAGACACAATGGAGCACGGTACTCCATGTAGCTTCATCACGTATTCAACAAATAACCTTGCAATTGACTTAGCCGTGTACGGATGCGTGAGAGGAATAAAATGCGCATACTTGGTAAGGCGATCGACGACCACCATGACCCCATTGAACCCATTCGAAAGCGGCAGGCCCTCGATAATATCCATGGTAATGTCTTCCCAAATTCGCGCTGGTACCGACAATGGCTGAAGTAACCCTCCCGGTCGCCGCGAGTCCGCCTTTGTGCGCTGATACTCATCGCATCATTCGATATAGTTGCGTACGTCTCCTCTCAGTCCAGACCAATAAAATTTGCTTGCAATCCTCATCCAAGTCCGGAACACTCCCGAATGTCCGCCAAATTTTGAGTCGTGGAAGTGCTTGATAACCCGCTCACGCAATGAGCCTGTCTCGGGCACGACAACTCGTCCGTGATAAAGGAGCAGGCCATCGTGTACATCGTAGTCGTCATCCTTGTCCTTGCTCTCGATCACCTTCTTCACTGTGTCTCGGCAATGGGTATCCTCCTCTTGCGCTTTTCGGATTTCGTCCCAAACAGCCCATGTTGGTCCTGTCACGGCGTCGAGCTCCGCAACATCCTCTCGCCTAGACAATGCGTCGGCCATGGTGTTTTGGCGACCGGGCCGATACACTATCCTGAAGTTGAACCCCATTAGCTTGGACACAAACTTCTGCTGCTTGGGCGTCACGATCCTTTGCTCGTGCAAGTGCTTGAGCGGCTATTTGTCCGTGACAATGCGGAAGCGTCGCCCGAGTAGATAAGGTCTCCACACGCGCACGGCCTCGACCACGGCCAACATCTCCTTCACGTACGCGGATAGCCCCAAGCGCGCCGGCCCAAGTGTCTTGCTAAGATAGGCCAAGGGCCGCCCTTCTTGCACTAGGACCGCTCCGATCCCAACGTCGCTCGCGTCCAAGTGAATATCAAACATTACGTCAAACCTCAGCCTCGCGAGCACGGGCGTGGTCGTCATGGCTTTCTTCAACTCTTCGAACGCCATCTCGCTCGCCTCGGTCCACTTGAAAGCCCCTTTCTTTGTCATCTCTGTGAGCGGCGTAGAGATAGTCCCATAGTCCTTCACAAATTTGCGATAATAGCCCGTAAGTCCTAGGAACCCTCGTAATTGCGTCAAGCTCGCGGGATTCGGCCACCCCACCATCGTCTCGATATTCCTTGGATCCACCTTAACACCCTCATGAGAAATAAAGTGCCCAAGGTATTCGACCACCTCTTGAGCAAACGAGCACTTGGACGGCTTGATATAAAATGAGTTAGCCGCCAAAATATTCAAAACAACTCGCAAGTGCTCGAGATGATCTGTCTATGTTTTCGAGTACACCAAAATGTCATCAAAGAATACTAACACAAACTTATGAAGGTACTCCTTGAAGATTGAATTCATCGCAAACTGAAATG